CAAGTTCTTGCAGAGGACTGAAAAAATAAAAGAGTAAAGTATGCTCTGCATCCTGGTTCTTAAAATTTAGTGGTATCTGAGGCCTATGAGAAACATTTTGTTTGTAAACCCTTCATGGGATAACAAATGCTATTACAAATGAATTATCTAAAAAAGGCAGTGCCACATACTGCCAGATCATGCATGGAAACAGTAAATGTTTACTCTGGATAGGGGGATTTAGGTGACATTACTCGTTTAATCAACTCAACTCCAAGGCAGCAGTACTCAGTTTTCACTCTGCCATTGTGTAGCAACTCTCTCTTGCACTCCCTAAATATCACCAACACTGTCAAGACCCACCCGAATTCCCAAGCCACCCATTACAATGAAACAACAAATACATATTTCCTCCTTACCCCTCCAAGTATCTACAAAATCCAAGAGAAATTGTGTGCATTATATGTAGCAGGGCAGGTGGAGCTATTAATTCGGTCCTTCCACTATTAGGCTTAATACGCTTCTGATAAAAAAAAAAACAAAAACAAAACCTCTTTCATCTCCTAGACTTCATTTGGCAAGTGAAAGTCCAAGCCAGTGTTCACTTTAACAAAGTCTCTGTCAAAAATAATTTGATTATTCCTTTAGTCATTTATATTTTCATTCTAAAGATGTTTCTTCTGAGAAGTCTCCTTTTCATGGTTCGTGTGTTTAATGTCTCCCATTCTTTGCAAATTCTCTGGTCTGATCCATCATTTTTCCCTACGTGTGAATTTCCCTCCGTGGAATGTATCTGTAATCACTATACGTGTATATATTGTGTGTTTAAGCTCCCATGGTGAATAGGTCAACCAAGCCAAACAACTCCTCAAAGCCGGCCTCTCCTCCAGGGACAACTTCAGGTAAAGTATATGCTTGATCTGGTTTGGTTTTTAATTTATTCCAAATAGGGTAAATGATTCAGATCAAATATAAAGAAATAATCACTTGTATTTCCAATTTTCTTAATAAATGGGAAAAGAAGGCCTAACCTCATCTTCACCCACTATCTGGCGGCATCTGTGTTGAAGGGACCCTCACCTCCATGCCTCTTGGCCTCTGGAATAAATCCTGGTCTTTAACCTATCTAGCTGGGCATTTTGCTGGCCTCTCCTTTATCTCCCCTCCCTGACCGAGCATGTCCCCCGGTCTCAGCCCTCAGTCCTTCTTTGGGGATCTCTTGGTGGTTAAGAGCTTGGGGTCTGAGCCAGACTGACCTGGGTTGGAATCCCAGCGCTCCAGTTACTAGCTGAACCACCTTGGGCTTGCACTTCACTCTCCAAGCATCAGATTTTCTCATCTGTAAATGGAGATAACAGCCCCTACCCTGTGACAGGAGAATACTGAAATCGCAAATGGGAAACTGAACACAGTGCCTGGCATGCAGCGAGTGCTCAGTAAAGAGAATTATTTTTCATTTCTTCTTTTTTTTTTTTTTTTTTTAATAAAAGATGACCGGTAAGGGGATCTTAACCCTTGACTTGGTGTTGTCAACACCACGCTCACCCAGTGAGCGAACCGGCCATCCCTATGTGGGAACCGAACCCGGGGCCTTGGTGTTATCAGCACCACACTCTCCCGAGTGAGCCACAGGCTGGCCCTTATTTTTCATTTCTTTGGGGATCTATTCTTCTGGCTTCACTTCACATGTCTAAACTGGTAACTCCGGGTGTCCAACTCTGACCTGACTTCCCTTCTGAACACCTTGGCATTCCCACTGCCTGGAGTTCAATACATCCATCACCAAACTCTAAGCTCATCACCTCCCTACCCTACTGGCGTCCCTATTCCTCTGTGCCTGTCAGCCTCACGGCCACATGTCTCTTTCCAAAGCCTTTGCTCTTCCATTTTATCTGCCACCACCCTGGCCCGGGCTTTCTTCATCTTAGCACTGTCTTGTCAGCAGCACTCGTTAGCCACACCCCCACCTCTTGCGCTCTCCTCAGTAACTAAGACTGAGCTTCTGAACTCCAGACGTTGACAGCTTCATCCTGCTACAAAGAGAGTTTTTACCATGTCGCTCCTACCCAAACCATAGGCCTTCAGTGGTTCCCACTTGTCTCCTGTAGGTTTTGGCAACCCCCAGGCTGAGGCCAGACATGGTGAGTGGGACCCACACCACCACCCTCTCAACAGCACAGAGAGGCATAGGAGCCTCCTCTCCAGCATTCCTGAGTGTGTTTTCTCTCTCTCTGTCTCTCGCTGGCCCTCCTCTCCCCTACACACACACACACACACACACACAGACACACACACACACACACACACACACACACACCCATATGCGTTCTCTCTCTCTGTCTCTCGCTGGCCCTCCTCTCCCCTACACACACACACACACACACACACCCATATGCACGCGAGCTGAACACAGGAGATTAGAAGGCTGTGTTCTGCTTCTAGGGACAGCCTATCTAGAGAGAAAATGAAAGAAAAGTATTTTTTAGTCATTTCCTAGACTCATTTCCTGTGAAACTGTTCACTTTCCTCACAAGTTCTTGTGTTACTTATCTTCACCCTTGGAAGCCACAGGCTCTTTATATTTGGGGAGTGGGGATCAGAGCCGCCTTAGCCAGCTCGTTTTACCTTCTGGGAACGCCCTTTAACATACCCACCTAAAATGTCATGGCAAGTTTGCTTTGGTCCCAGCTGAAATGGAGACTCCTGACTCATGATAACTCAGGATATGGGCTGTTATTACTAGAACAGAAAACATTTAACATTTGAAACAAACAATAAAGGCCTAAACCCTCCTTCAGACAAATAGTTTAATAATCTCTGATGTTTGCATCTTTAAAAACTCTACCTGCCTTACAAGGATCTCTTCTTCCTGAAACACACCCAATATTCCAATCAGCCTGTTTCTCATTGGTCCTGCGTTTTGGTCTTTGTATGCTCACTTTTATGACACCAAATCCTACTCACGCTTCAAGCCCCAGCTTTGAGGCTTCCACCTCCAGGAAGTCTCCTCTGGTTTCTGCATCCCTCAAAGAACTCTCCTTTGCCAGAAGTCTCTTCCCACTTATACTTAGCCCATACCTATTCCCTAATTACTTTCAGTGTCTCAATCTAATCTCCCTAAGTGCATTGCAAGCTCCTTGAAGACCTTGCCTTCAATGTCACTTGCTCAGGAGGCCTTCGCTAATCCCACACTGGGATAAATCCCCACGGCATACACTCCTATAATGCCCTGCACATGCTTTTTATCCCTTGACTCCTCCTGAGACTTCTGTCTTCCCTATAAGACTCTCAGCTCCATTTCTTGCTCACAGCTGTGTTTCCAGGGCCTAACCCAGGACCTGGCTCAGAGAGGTGCTGAGATTGTGGATGGGTCAGTTGGTTGAGAGGGCAGGTGGACCCCAAACACTGGTTATATTTAAAGAATCATCATGAGAGCATTAGCCCACTGCATTAGTTTGTTATTAATATAGCATAGCTGTATTTTAATACTAGAGGCATCAGATAAAGAAACCAAATCTAAACAGGAAAATAATGCCCTGGTTATGTGATAGTTACACAAGTGGGAGGAAGTACAGGAGGAGGGAAGATGTGAGAATTTGAGAGGGACACACTTGAACAGTCAGACTGTTCTGAATGTACAAGCAGAATTTTCAGAGATGATTTTTATAAAAGGAATGATCAGACTACTTGCCTGGGTCTTTGAATAACTGTCCACGATGCTTTAAAGGCTTCAGGTAGTCCCCCGATGGGCATCAAAAAAGTGCCATGTTTTCTGGTTTGTGTTTCTGTCAAAGTACCCGACCATGTCAACTGCCTCTGGTTAATATTGCTTTGGGCTCTTTGGTAGCCAGTAAGGTGCTTGCCAAGGATTCCATAGTGAATCAGGTGAGTGGCAGACTCTGCCCTCCCCTTCGTGGCTCATGCTAAGAAGAACAGCAGCATGGACTTAGCCCACGCTCCAAAGCCAAGGTTTCCTGGCCCTTACACTTTTAGGTGCCAGACTTTGAGCAAGAAGAGTAATCTCTCTGTTTCTTGGTTTCTTCCTCTGAAATCTCAGGAAAATGGCACCTACACCTTGGGGTATTGTGAGAATTAAATGAGTAAATATATGAATCACACTTATAAAATGGCAGTGTTAAATCCAGCACTACCAAGTGTGCTGCTCAGTACAGTTAAAATGAAGCTGATTTTTCTCTTTTACTATTACGCCTTTGCATACATTTTCTTCTATCACATTCTCAGTTTCTCTTGGAGTAGTTGAATCAAGAATTCAGCTTTTTAGAAAGCAAGGAAACTGGCAGTAAGGGCCAGGTATGCCCCTGCTGGGGTTGTCCTACCCCAGCCATGCCCCTGGGTCTGGGTTTGGTCCCAGAGAAGCTGGGGGGCTACTGGCCCATGAAATTGAGGAGTAGTTCTCCATTATCCCATGGGCATCCACAAAATCACCCCTCTGTTTCACTTACCTGCCCCACGTAAAGGGAAAGCAGGGAGTGAATCTGACATGCAAACCATGCCCCAAAACAAAGTAACACTATGAGGTGCTGGCTGGAGAGGAAAGTGCCTGCTTGGGCTCTACACTCAGATAACCTTGGTTTAAACCCAGCCCTGCCATCTAGCCTCTCTGATCCTCAGCTTGCTCTGGTTGATATCATGTGAGGCTTAGAGATGGCACATTTAAAGTACCTGGCACAGTGCCTGATACCTAGAGATACTGTGGTGGTTGATAACAAGACAGTAAAACAAAGACATAATTATACTTACTGTGATCTTTAATGAATTATAATTTACATATTATAAAACTCACCCCCATGTGTACAATTCAATGATTTTTGGAAACCATTACATTTGTAGTAATACATTATGTAACCATCACTACAATCCAGTTTTACACAATTTCCATGCCCACCCCAACCCCAAAAGATTCCTTAAGCCCATTAGTAGTCCATGCTGTTCCCACTCCCAGCCCCAGGCAGCCACTGATCTGCATTCTGTTGCTGCAAACTTGCCTTTTCTAGATATTTCCTATAGATGGAATTATACAATATGTAGTCTTTTGCATCTGGCTCCTTTCACTTAGCATAATGTTTTTGACCCTCAAATACTTTTAATCCCTTCTCAGCAATATTATCTTATATTTTTGAGTTAGGAAATATGGTCATATTTGAGTTAGGAAAGGTAAGTAGTGGTGTCCCCATTTCACACAGGGGAACCTGAGGCACAGTGGCTTGTAAGAGGTCATCCGGCCAGTTTGGTGGCAGAGAAATAATTTGAATCCTGTCCTTCCTGATGCAAGACCATAGGTTTTTCCACCAGCACTTGTACTGTGCCATCATAGGGGAGAGCTCGGATGCCATCTCTCTCCTCTAATCGCCAGAAGTTATTTATGGGGAGGAAAAGGGAAAAGAAGTTGGCAGACTGGCGATATGAAGGAAAGGAAAGCTTAGCAGAAAAGCCAGGCAGTGGCTCTAACAAAGATATTATGCTCAGGCCAAACGGGCCCTTGGCATTTAAGAAGAGGGAAAACCCACAGGAGGAAATTCTGACTTAGGCCTTCTTTCTACTTCCTTATTTTTCAGGCAAGATTTTTTTTTTTCTTTTTCCTAAAATCATCCGTAAAAATCTACAAGTAGCACAGTGTCAATCTTTTTTTTTTTTCCTGACCGGTAAGGGGATTGCAACCCTCAGCATGGTGTGGTCTACACCACGCTCAGCCAGTGAGTGCACCGGCCATCCCTATATAGGACCCGAACCCACAGCCTCGGAGCTACCAGCGCTGCACTCTCCCGAGTGAGCCACAGGGCTGGCCCACAGTGTCAATCTTAAGTATTCAATTTGACACACTAGCTAATTAAACACAGCTGGACTCATCCTCCATGTTCAGATGACATTTCAGTTTACTGTCAGGTGAAATGTAAACATTCCAAATGTAGTCTCTTTTCCAAGATGTTCATAAAAATCACATCTAGGTCAGGTGACATGCAAGTAGGAGTTACCTTGGAGGTGGCATTGCTGGGGAAGGTGGCCATAGGGAATCAATACCTCCCACTCTCTCATTTAGTGTTCAGGGAGACTTACCCTCCACAGTCAGTGGGCTCTGAGGGGAAGCCTGGGGTTCTCTCTCTAGCAAAGCACGTGAGAATAAACTTTATGATCTCTAGTTTTAATACTTTTTGAGGCCCCTTTTCCTGTTTGTGTCTGGATGAGATGACATGAGGGTGCACGTCCTCCCTGTTACCAATTTTGAGAGGGCAGAGGCTTCTGTCCTTCTTTGCCTCTTTCTCAACCTCTAACATGGTGCCTTCACATGCTTTGCACGTACCAGGTTGTCAGTAATTCTTGGCAACTGATTATGACTTCATTGCTTACTTACGTGTGCTCTATCTCACAAGCTAAAACAATACATACCGAGGGCAGCAGGTCCAACCTATACTTAAAGAGTATCCCCTATAAGTCCATTACGAATTGTGGACTTACAAACATAGTAGGTTCTTAATAAAATATTTATTCAGTTCAGTTTAATTCAACAAAGAGCCTTATCAAGAGCTCATTGGTCTCACCGAGTGACAATGTCCAGGCAGGCGAGCCTCTGCCTGAGAGGCAGCCAGGGATGCTGAGGGGGCTGGCTCAGCTCTGGCCCCTCCCCTCCAAGCCTGCCCTCTACCAGTGCCATGAACACCTATCCTGCCTTCCTCTCACTTCCTCCTCTTAATGATTATCTGGCTCCTATCTTCAGGTAGGGGGAGGGGAGACTGGGTGCAGGGGACAAGACCCTCTGGGTCCCTTCTATATCTTCAGTAGATGAGATCTGGGCAGTAGCCTGCCACTTGTCCCAATTTGTCCATTTGTGCACTGGGCAAAGGCTCTGCAAACTCGGAGATGACTGAGTGAATAGCCTTGGATGTGAAGTCAGGTGCATAGACTATAGTTAAGTGTGGTTCCGAATGAGCAGTGTGTACAGGTATGTGTCAGGGGTGGCAGGTTTGAGCCTTTATCTCGAGGCCCCTCTGGTGTGCACATTTGTGCGGTGTCCAGAGATGCAAGTGTGAGCTCTTGTCTCCCTCCCAAAGGAACCCTTGTGGGGCTCTCACTGAGCCCTCTGAATCAGGAGGCTCACATGGGGATAAGGAGAAGGTCCTTTGGAAATGGTAACATGGAATCCCTAATCCACATCCTAGATATGAGCTTATACACTGACATTTTTAAAATGTGTCATCCCCTTTGCCCACGGATTTTCCCTAACAGCTTCAATATGACTACCTATATATGCTTAACTGAAAGCAACAAAAATAATATGTAAACATGTGCACGTATTTCTGAGCCTGCCAGAAAGGCCAGCCTCCCTGTGACCATCAGCCCGAGGTTCAGGACCTGGGAACTGACCTGTGCATGTTTGTGCAGGTCGAAACAGCGGGGCCTGGGAATCCAAGTCACCTTCTTCCCCAACCGCGCCATCCCCACTGCCGAGGGCCGGGTAAGTACCTGTTGTAGGAAGCGGTTTTGCAAGATCTGAGTGGATGGGATGACAAACCACTACTGCCCTGTTGACTGTCATCAAAAGTTCTCCTCCACCCCCATGGCAGGCTGTAGGTTGGACCAGGGGTGCAGGTTCCCTGCTGAAACTGAAAATTAGGAATCTTTCCTCCCGTAAAGTTTTAGTTAAATGTTGAGTTCATCAGGTTCCACAAGACACCCCAACTTTCAGAAGCTCCAGCATCTGAATAATTTTGAGACCCTCAGGCAGGTTTCATCTCTACTTTCTACTCCTTGGCATCTCTTTCAAGTAGTTAATGTCCTGTAAAGAAATGTATATACCGTTTGCAGCATACACTAGGGTGCTCAAAGCAACTCTTCTGAGGTTTCTTTCAAAAGGGAGAGTTATTCTTTCTTACTGAATTTAAAAGGGCTTTGTAAACTGCCAGTGAGTATTGTAATGTGTTAGTATTACAAACAGTGACCCCATAAAATTATGTTGGCTTGATAGCCTGTTTTAAAAACATGTTTAAATGTATCTAAAGCCGGTCTGCCTTGTTATAATGCTAATTCTGCCTCTGTGTAAATCAAAGGAAGACAATCTCAGGGGCTTAGTCACCAAAACTCTGCACACTTCTCTCGTGGCTCACTTTTATCACTTTGGGTATGTTACTTAGTCTCTCTGAGCCTCAGTTTCCTCATCTTTAACATGTGATAATGATAGCCATTTTAAAGGGTCACTGTAAGGTTTAAATAATTGTGAAGAGCCTAATCCTATGCCAGGCATCTTATAGGCACTGGGAAGTTGTTAGTAATCTTACCCATACTTCAGCGCTAAACAAAAACAAAGCGAGAGAGAGAGAGACATTAAAATAAACATAGGAGAGAAGCATAGAACGTTAGCAATATTAGATTCCAGTGTCTATCAGAGCCAAGACAAACCCTAATGATAGTGCAGGCAAGCACCTTCAGGACCACAAACCACAGTGGTTTTCAAATTTGTTTTGGTCTTGGATCTCTTGGTTTGAATGAAATCCTTCACAGAAGTCTAGTAGAGAATAGTCACCTAGAAGCAGGGCAGAGGTTGACATGTAGCGATGCCAGCTACCACTGTCACCTGTGCAGCCTGCTCAGCAGCTGCCCTCTTATCTCCACCCTCTGCCCCCAGGCAGTAGCCAGGGTGCTGCTGGGGAAGAGAAGGGCTCTGCACACATGCTTTGAAAACACCGACTCTGGCCCTCATTTTACAGATGAGGAAACCAAAGCTCAGGCTTGTCTCACAGCCAAGAGAAAGAGGCCAAGGCCACCGAGTAATTAGTAGCAAGAGTGGAATCAGAGCTCAGTTCTGCTGACTCCCTAGCAACTGGTGCTCCTCTTCATCCCCAATTAACCCTTCCCCATCTGTCAGTGGACTTTATCTGAGGCTAGGAGGATCATAACTAAATCCTACTTCCATCCCTCTCCACCTTCAAGGATAGTCTTCCTGCACACACCTATCACTTGCTTTATTCTAGTTTAAATTTGAGTAAAATGATAGCTCCACTTTGTCTTTGTTCTGTTTTAACAAAGCTAATCTCTTTATTTTCCAGGAAAAAACCAGCTGCACCACTGAAGACAGTAAGTTAATTTTGCATTTAAAGTGCTTCATATTTCCTGCAATGCTTATTCTTATCCACTTATTTAAAGTTAAAATTGCTCCCAGCTATGGTGAACACAGCAATCTTAGCAGCTGAAGTTGCTACCCAAATGGTCCAAGAGAAACTTCAAATCCTCAGGTAGCTGGGAAGATGCTGTGTAGGAGGAGCTGTCCTCATTTGACCCTGGCGGCTTCACTGACTGGGTGTGGCAGATCAGAGGGGAGGCCAGGCTTCCTGAATCCCCACGGAAAGCCCCTGTGTCCACTCCCTGCCTGCTGACCCAGGTGCTAATAGCAGACCATTGTGTATCAGGCATACATTCTTTTTTTTTTTTTTTTTTTTTTTTTTTTTTTTTTTT